CCACGCCGGTCAGCCCAGCCCCATCCTCGTCGTACGCCCCAAGCTCGGCGGGTGCCAGCTCCACACCGAGCCCCAGACCTCTCCGCCAGCAGAGCCACCCATCCCCAGCAGCACCAGAGCGTGGGCGCAAACTTACAAGCTCCTAATTCTGGATTCGGGAGGCTGAGCATCCACGCAGTCTGCACCTCGAGCTGGGAGCCAGGAGCCGTCGTCTTCATCGCTGCAGCACAAAGGAGCGGGGTAAAAACCTGCGCCGAGTCACAGGCTCGCCACGAGTGAGTGCCAGAGCCACCCTGGGCTGCATCCCGAGCCAAGCAGGGTCCCCCGCAGAGCCAGGGGCACAGGGACCAGGGCTGCTGTCCCCATGAATCCCCCTCAGGCTGCGACCTGCCACGAAGCCACAGCCAGCCGGAGCGACGCTCGCGTCCCGGACACAGCCGCACTCCATGGCAAGCCCAGCCCCAGCTCGGTGATCGGAAGCCACCAGGCTCTCCAGACAGCAGCTTCAAACCCCCAGTGCTCCGTCAGCGGACGCTGTGTCCCTGGCTGCCACCGCAGTGAAGTCTGTGGGCTTCTCACCCCCCGCGGCAAGCGCACGCTGCTCCAGGGGAACAGACCGAGAATCGGCACCACCGGCCACGGCTCGGGGCCAAGGCGGGTGACAGCCAGGCCTCGCAGGGGAGCAGGGTGACAGATGAGAGGCGACTGCAGGGCAGCACTCACAGCACCTATCCTCGCCAGGCAGTGAGGCGAGCGGGCAGGACCCGACACCCCCAGACCCCGCCGCTGCCAGCAGACCCCGACACAAGCGAGCAGCAGGTTTCAGCAGCACAGAAGAGCTCAGCCCCCTTCAGACCTTTATTAAAGCCCCTAAAAGCCAGTGAGATCCAGCTCCCCCCACGCCATACAGCAGCTTTAGCGCAGGATTCGCCCCCCCAGCGCCGGCAGATGTGCAGAGCCGGGGCTGGTGCCCGGCTGCGTCCTTCCCTCCCCATCGTGAGAAGCCAATGCTGCCCACGAACGTCTTGCAGAGCCAAGTCCCCAGGGAACATCGCCACTGTCATCTTCAAAGGCTCCCCACTGGACAGCCTCCAACTGCACAGCGCAGGGACCAGCCTGCCTCGTCCAGCAGTCCCAGTGCCACCACCTCACCACCCTTTCGCCACATCCACGCAGGGACAAGCGGCGTTCGGTCAGGCCATCGGCGACTGGTGACAGGGAGACGCGAGTTGCAGCAAAGAGCCCAGCCCCTGCGGCGTTCCCAGGGCTAAGCCAGAGGAAGACATCAACTGCAGACACGAAACCTTTGATCTCTGGCAGGAGGCAGGGAGGAGGCAGCTCTTGGCCTGGGCGAGTTCCCTTCCAGGCTGTCACACCACAGAGAAACACCGGAGCCTGCCAGCCGTCATGGGAGGCTCCCCGTCCGCCGCGGCCAGCCCGGATCACCTGCCC